GGCTGTCCCTGTGGCAGGGCTGTCCCTGTGCCAGGGCTGTCCCTGTGCCAGGGCTGTCCTTGTGGCTGTGCTGCACTGCTGGTCCCACCACTGGGACCCACAGACAACCCCCTGCCCCCCGAGGTGCTCTGCTCAGACGTGGTGCACATCTAGACTGGCTGCACCCTCTGTGTCAGGGCAGCACAAGGAGGGAGGGGAGCATGGGGCAAGCCTGGCAGAGGTGGTAGATGGAGAACAATACTGGGGCATGGTACTTGTTTAGTCCTTCCTTCTGCCAATGAGAAATTACATTGCCTATGTAGCACTGGTGACAGCAGACAGGAAACTATCAGTGAATCAGTAGAGACCCAGATGACTTCTAGAATATACCTAAAATGTGAAATAATTTATTTTGTTCTCCATATGCTTTTTTGCCCCTTTTTTTCAGGAATGTATCATTAGTTAGTCTTTATGTCCTTTCAGTTTACAGTAGTTTGTTTAGTGAACGTCCTCAGCAATCAGTTGCAATTGCTTTCTGGCTGGTGTTTATCAACAATTTATCATTGTTGACTTCTTGGAAAGCTGCATTGTTAGCCCAAACTGAAAACACTATAAAGTATGAACTATTTATAATACAAATGAGAAAATTTTACTGGCATAATTTTTGCCATTATGTTCAATAAGCAAAGTTTGTCTTTTTTAGGTGCCTTAAATATTTTCTTTTTGAAGAAGCCACCACTTTTCAACAGGTCTGAGAGCTGACTGAAGAGTCTGCTCAGGTTGCCACTTCACTGCAGCCGCTCTAGAAGGATTTATAGGCTCCTTAGTGCTCAGACAACTGCTGCCTCCCCTTTCGCAAGCAGAAGTGCAGCAATTTTAGCTTCAGTAACTGTTGCCATTGTGAACACCCTCAGAATGACAGAAGAGGCAAAATCAGCAGGAACTGGACACAGGGAGAGAGGAATTTCAGTGATGGATAGAGGTTCAGTACTAGGTTTGGGTTTGTTACGTGTGTGGGTGAGATTCAACTCCAAACTCAGATACTTACTTTTAGTCATCTTCATGCCCAAATGAATGTGTAGGTAAGTGAGCTGAATGTTTAAGCTCCTGATAGACAATACTATTAGAATCAAGCACATGTTTCGGGTCACTCTAAGGTAGACAACCACATTAGGACAACTGGGTCATTCTCCAGTTTTTATTAACTTGAGCTCTGATGCCAGCAGGATCTACAACACCTGGATCCCAAGTAGGAACATCTGCATATGGTGTGTGTGAAGGGCTGTTGATGATGGAAGACTTGAGCAAATAGGGAATGCATATATACAGCAGGAAGGCTATACTTGTGCAGGTCATAGGGAGGGAGTTGCACTGAATTTGGTAGACAAGAGGAAACCCTAACAGAATATTATAGCTGGCAAAAAAAAAGCTAAAATGCCTTTTGTGAAAGACTCTAAGAAGTTGTGGCTGCTTTCATTCTGCTTGAATTGAAACAAAATTGTTATATTAAAGCAAAGGATTTCCTGACATTTTTGAGGAGAAAAATACTGCAATTTTAAGAGCTATCACAATTTACCTAGTTTAATTTTCCCTTTTTTCTTTTACTAGCAAAGGTAGTAAAATTAATTATATACAAAACTTAATCCCCCAGATACACATGCACACACACACTCATTTTTTCTTGACCTTCAGCTTTTACATATCTGCAGTTTGTCCAACTTTGTCTAATTTAGAAAGTTACAGTTTCAATTTTTCTTTGTCAGCTACAAAGTTTTTTCCAAATTAAGAAAGCTTTCCTCTTAAAATGACAGAAAGGAAAAATAAAAGCAAGAATACATACAGATAGAAAAAAAATACTCACTTTATATTCTGTCATATTAACTGGGAATGTAAAGGCAAATAACGAAAGGGAAAAATATAAGTGAAAACAGATCGAGCAATATGTTACAGGTTGTGGAAGTTTTCAATTCCATGTAATTTTGAAAAATTCTTTGGAAAACTATTTTCTTTTGAGCCTTCAAACCTTTATGGGTTATTCTTTTTCTGTTTGAAAAAATCATACAAATCAAGGCATATAGACAGCCATCAGCTTTATGTTAGTATTACATATGATTGTGGGAAAACCATGAGGTTTTCTTTTTTTTTTTCTTTGTAGCCAATTTTAATCCAGATCAAAAACTGCATGCAACAGCAAAATGAGACAACATACAGAGTCATTGAAATACCTGAAACTCATACTGAATTCCAGTTCTCAGACAACATAACTGCATTAAACACATGAAAGAATTGCTGCTTTATACTCAGGTGAGGATTTAGTTGTCAGGGTTAAATCATAGGACTCAGTCTTACTCTTCAGTGGGAATCTACTCCAAATGTGAAGCTGATGTCTGTTAATCTTCTCCCCACCCCCAGGATTACAGTGCCATCACAGAGACACAGTCAGCTGAGAGAAGAGGAGGAAGGAATTTCCTCACTTTCTTATCCAGACCTCTGAGTAGGAGATGCTGAGAGAGGAGCACAACTGGTACTGTAGCTGGGGAGGCAAAACACTGTGGGACCAGGTGAAGCTGCTGAGATGTGATTCACTTCAAACTTCTTTGTGGTAGGAACTGTAATTTGGAAGGTAAAGACCAATACATGAAAAAAAAAAGAAAACAGAGGAAAAACAAACAAAAACCACAAACAAACAAACCCAACAAGTCAAGATCTGTTGCATGGGGATGAAATTGTTTCTCAATAAAGCAAAGGATTTCACTGCTCTCTTCACCACTCTGATCTTGTGAATATGGAAGATGTGTAACCCCCTCCTTAATCTGGGTGGGCAACAACCAAGGATCAGCACAGTACATTGGCTTTTTGCACAAACTAGAATGGGGTTCAGCTCCCTCTAACAATAACTGCCTCTCTTTCAGACCAACATAGTACATGACTCTTTCTGTTCTAGAGAATGTAAATTTATTAAACCTTTCCCTCCATCTGGTACACTTATCTGGAAAAAGTAGTGCTGAATGACTACCCTATGTTGAGACAGCACCAATCTCTCCCAATTGCAATGGGATATAGGTCTTAAGTTCAATATAACAGTTCCATAGTCCCGTTCATATGATCTTTGAAACTCTTCAGCTCCAAAAATCACAATTGGACTTCTGTGTCTTTCCTCTGGCACCTAACTCAGTGACTTCAGTCTTTGAAGCTTTTATCTTTAACTCAAGGTAAACTTTTTCTGCTCTTTTATTGTTCCTTGTGTCCATGGTGACTTGCTGTTATTCCATTGGAATCAAACCCCTATTTACTTCCTCTTCCTTATTCACATATCCTTATCACTACTTTCAGACGCATTCTTCCCCCCTTCCCTTGCTTTGGCTTTGATCCCTTTTACTACTCAGCCATTCTTATCATCCCCTGATTCTCATTCCTGTGACTTCTGTTCCTTTTCAAATGCTTCCTCCTGCATTGGGATTTTCTTCCTCTAGCAATGACCCTGCCTCTCAGTAGGACCCCTTATGTTTTTCCACATTGAGGACTCTGAGCATTTGCAGCAGACAGGAGCCTGTGCCTTCATGTCTCCATCCTTATATGTTTCCTACTAGAACACACTATCTCTTACTCTTCACTTTCTTTGCTTGAGTCAGCATCCGATAGATTACAGAACCAGTGTAGCCCCTTTCATCTCTTTTAGCACACCCTCCCACTTCCCCCCCTTCTCAGGCTCTCTTGTCAAATTATTTATAGGACATTGATTCACAGACCTGTTATGTCTAATTATATCCATTCACTTCTAATATGAATGGCAATTTTGCTAGGAGTTAAGATTGCCAAAAATGTTTTGACCTAAGAAAGAAGAGGTGGTGGCTACATATGCAGATCAGATTCTATAAAAGTACTCTGGGATCAGTGTGTCGTGTCCTTCCTCAGAAACCTCTAAGGTAAGAGTTTCAGGGGCTTGGGACTGGGGAAGTGGGGGATAAAGGAAAACTGGCCCTGCATTCCACAAGCACCAGTGCATTCCTATAGATGCTCACATTTATTCAGTGGGGGTCTGCCAGTGTCAGCTGGGATTTTCAGTCTGCTTTCAAGGCATCCATATGTTTTTAGTCTATAAATGTTGTCTGGGGTGCAGCAGTAAGAAGGAAGTTACTAATTCTCTTTTTTAATACTGACCAGCTTCCAATCTACAACCCATTCAGCTTGTCTCACCAAAGGTAAGATCTTGATTTATTCACTCTATAGGGGCAGGCAGAGTTGCTCTAAGGCAAGGATTCTACGGAGGTATGCTGGAAATCCCTGTATTCAATATGTTTATGTCCGCTGTATAAATACAGTAGGAGAACTGGGCTGGATTGCTGATATCTTTATCACAAGATTCTTAAAGACAGTGATCTTAAAAGTACTGATCACTGCTGCATTGCCTACATTCTCCCCAAGAATCTCCAGTAGAGACCAGTTTCCTGGAGAAACTGTCCTAAGAATAAAAACCCCATCAGAAAGCAGTTTCCAATTACTTTGTGAGTTTTTTTGCATTTACCTCAAACATCAAAGGTAACTGGCACTGGCTGTGAAGCAACAGGAAAAGACATACATATTTAAATAATGTTAATATTTTCTTTTTTCACATGGAAGCTTGAGGAACAGGGTTAGAATTTTGCATATCAAAACATCAAAGTGATTAAAGCAAGCATTTCATCCTGAGCTTCCTTATAGGCTTGTTTCTGCCTATGAATATATTGCATAATTGTAACATAATTATATAGGCAAATATTTGTAATCACAGGGAACTGAAGAAAGGATGATACCTACTGGGATAACTGGAAAAAGAGAGATGGGATAGCAACTAAATTTGAAGTTTTAAAGATTTGCACCCAGGAAAATAAACTGCTCACAATTTATTTTTTACATTAATTTACATTAATTCTGTCAAATATTGTCACTAGGATATATCCCTCAAAATTATAAAATGCCAACAAGCAATCATGTGTAAGGAATATAACCAGCATGCTTTGAATAAGTGGAGGAGAGTTAGCATAGCACAGATTTCAGGAAAACTCAAAACAGTCAAAAGAAAATAGTTTAATTCTTTAAAAAGTCAATATACTCACAGATTGCATACATATACTATATGCTAACATAATGTATACTGACCTACTATATATATTATACTTTTTAATAATACCATAAGGATATATTGTGATAAAAGCTTACAGTGTCTATAAAATAACATAATGTACAATATGTATGCAATATACATAATATAAACTAATATACTACAATATATATAATAACACAATATATGCTGACATAGTATATACTAGTATCTGTAATATGGTAATGTTATTCATCTTAGGAATAGTTATATGATTCCTGTTAGGAATCTTGTAAGAAAATGGGAGTATTATAGGTATTATAGGCAATATTAAAATTGCAGTTGAAAAACTGGGACATTTTTCAACTGTATGTAATTATTTTGTGAAATGGTCTCATTTGACTTATAACACATTAATCAAATGGAAAAACATGTAGTTAGAAACAAAACCATGTCAGGAAATTGTACCCATTCATTTGAATTTATAGCACCTATTTGTGTCGTGAAGTCTACTGGCAGAGAAGGCAAAGCAATTTTTTTTACATGTAAGCTGGGGAACATTGAGTAGAATGAATTTTATAGTGTACAAAAATACTGTGGTCATTGTTAAACTATTGTTTCTGTTAGGCTGGCCATACTGCAATAATGAGGCTACTAAATGGTAAAGGGTTCAGAAAAAAGTTTAAAAAATATTCTAGGTCCATAATATCCTTTCTGCAATCAAAGTGAAAATGTTTCTCAAGGAAAAGTTAACCGATCACTTGATTTTCACCTAGACATCTGCCATAGGTGAAAGTATTGATAAAGAAGTTAACTTCTTGATTTATTCAGAAAAGCTATTCAAAATCCAAATTGTAGGTGGTGAACACACGTAACATTAGACTAAAAAAACCCCAAATCATTTGGATCAGAATCATAGAGTGGTTTGGGTTGAAGGGACCCTAAAGACCACCTAGTTCCAACCCTCTGCTGTGGGCAGGAACACCTTCCACTAGATGAGGTTACTCAGGGTCCCATTCAACCTGGCCTTGAACACTTCCAAGGATGGGGCAGGCACAGCTTCTTTGGGCAGCCTGTGCCAGGGCCTCACCACCCTTGTTGTAAAGAAATTCTTCCTCATATCTAATCTAAATGCATCCTATTTCAGTTGGAAGCCATTCACCCTTGTCCTGTCACTCCAGGCCCTTGGCCAAAGTCTCCCTCCAGCTCTTTTGGGCCCCTTTAGGCACTGGAAGGGGCTCTAAGGTCTCCTTGGAGCCTTCTTGTCTCCAGACTGAACACCCCTAGCTCTCCGAGCCTGACTCCAGAGCAGAGGGGCTCAGAGCATCTCCCTGGCTTCCTCTGGACTCACTCCAGTAGGTCCACGTCCTTCTGATGTTGTGGACCCCAGAGCTGGAGGCAGCACTGCAGGTGGGGTGGGGTAGAGGGACAGAGTCCCCCACTCCCCTGCTGCCCAGCACACGGTTGGTTTCTGGGTCCCACCACACATGGCTGTGGCTCATCAAGCCTCTCACCCATGAGCACCCCCAAGTCCTTCTCCCCAGGGGTGCTTCCATCTGGTCGCCTCTGAGCCTAGTTTGGTACCAGGGGTTGCCCTGACCCAGGTTCAGG